AAAATTAATGGGAGTGAAAGTTGACAAATTCCCATGACCACTGATCTAAATCCCAGAGTGGTGACTGAGGTGTCTATGAGAATACTAAATGTATTAGCGAACATCTTTTCTAATCCCATTATTTAAGAAAGGAAGAAGATAGAAAATGGGGAACTATAGCTTTGTTAAGGTGACATCAGTAGTCAGGAATGCACTAGAATCTATTATAAAGGATGTGATAACTAGACACTTAGAAATTACTGATCTGATTGGGCACAATTCAACAAGGATTTATGAAAGGAAAATCATTTTTGAAAAGTTATAGGAGTTTATCAGGGATGTTATTAGCAAAGTAGATAAGGGGGGATGACTGGATGTGGTATATTTCGATTTTCAGAAGATGTTTAGTAAGGTCCCACACAGACAGTTACTAAACAATGCTAGAGCACGTGGGATAAAGCCGAATATGAAATGACAATTAGTTAACATAAAGAAAACAGAGAGAATGAATAAATTGGTAAATCCCAGATTATCGATTTGTGAGGGGTAGTGTACTTGAAGGATTAGTATTTGGACCTCAGCTGTTCAGAATCTATATCAGTGATTTGGAGGAACCAAATGTAACATTTCCAAGTTTAGAGATGACAAAACCACATCGGAACATATTGTTATGAGAATGCAATGTGACTTCAAGGAGCTTTGGACTGGCAGATTGAACCGGCAAACCACGGCAAATGGAATATAACATGCATAAGTATCAGATAGTAGAAGGAACTGAGGTGCAAAGTATTTATTAATTGTTGAAAGATTGGAACGTGTTGATGTCCAAAGGAACCTGGATGTCCTTGTTCATAAGTCACCCTAAGCTAATATGCAGGTGCAGAAAGCAATTAGGAAGGTATATGTTAGCTTTTATTGCAGCGGATTTGAGTACAAGAGTAAATATGTGTTATTTCAATTATACAGAACACTGGTGAGAGTGCACCTGGATTATTGTGTGCGGTTCTAAGGAAGGATATACTTGCCATAGAGAAAGTGCAGCAAAGGTTCACCAGACTAATTTCTAGGATGGTAGGTTTGTTCTATGATAAAATATTATGGAAACCAGACCTGCATTGTCTAAAGTTAAGAAAAAATAAGAGGGGATCTTATAGAAATGTACATAATTATTAAAAGGGTAGACAGCGTAGATACAGAAAGGATGTTTCCCCTGGCTACAGAGCCTAGAATGAAGGGAAGGAGTCTCAGAATTTAGGCCATTTAGGGTTCGGAGTAGGAAGAATTTCTTTACCCACAGGATAGTGAATCTTTTGAAACCTCCAGGTTACAGAGGCAGCACAGGAATATGGTATTGAGAGACTGTGATCTAGAATGGTGGAGTTGCATTTAAAAGCTGTAGAAAATTGAGGGTTGGCGGTAGGACTTCTAAATCAAAGATTGCTGCAGGTACACTCGAATATTGGCTCACCTTTAAGCTAACAAGATTTTATGGCGAGATTTTATTGTACTTAGTGAGAAGCAGAATGGCTTTGGTAATTGTTACTTGTTTCTCTGGAGGGGGAAGATTGGCAGCTGACTGGCATGCAACAATTAAGCAAGGTTAGGTTAATAGTGTTTGTGGAAATGACTGAAGGATTAGCAAACCATTTGAAATTAAGAGGGTAATTTTGAACTTTTTTATCATGGAGGAGAATGTTGAACATTTATACCTTGAAAATGAAGTTAAAAATGAAGATGTGCCTGTAGCTGGACAGGAGAAAGACAGCTTAATGTTTGAGTTAACTGGGCCTTTCTTTGGATTTAGCCAATGTGGAGCCGACAAGCATAAAGAAAGAAATATAAGAATTGACTGTAACATATTTTGATTGGAATCAACTTGAACATGGGAGCCAGTGGCCTTGTCGTATTATCACTGGACTGTTAATCTAGAGTCTCAGGTAATATTCTGGGGACCTGGGTTTGAATCCCACTATCTGGAATCGAGAGTCTACTGATGACCATGAATTGTCGGAAAAAAACCCATCTGGTTCACTAATGTCTTTTAGGGAGGGAAACTGCCATCCTCACCTGGTCTGGCCTATATTGTGATTCCAGACCCACAGCAATGGTAACAGATTTGGTGGGGGTGGGGGGAAGTAGTATGACACTAAGATATTGGGATAAGAAGTATGCTATTCAACCCTTCAAGCCTGCTGCACCATTCAATTTTATCATGTTTGATCCTTTATCTTGACATCATATTCCTCCTTTCTCTACATACCCTCGATGCCTTTAAAATCTAAACGTTTATCTACTTCTTTCTTGAATATATTCAGTTCCTTGGCCTCCATAGTCTTCCGAGGTAGAGAATTCTACAAGTTCATTACTCTTTGAGAGAAGAAAAATTTCCTCATCTTAGTCCTAAATGAGAAAGCATTTTCCTGAATCTAGTCTGTCCAGTCCTGTTTGAATATGACATATTTCAATCAATTCCCCTCTCATCTTTCTAAACTCTACAGAAATCAGAGGCAATGAAATGAATCTCTCCTCATAGGACAGTTCTGCTATCCCTGGTATCAGTCTAGTGAACCTCTGCTGCACTCTCTCTGTGGCAAGTATATCCTTTGTTAGGTAGGGAGGCCAAAACTGCAAGCAATACTCCAGGGGTAGTCTCACCAAGGCCCTTTAAAGCTTAATTATAATGTATTTGTTTTGATATAAAATGTTATTAGTTATAATACTTTAAATGTAAAAATGAAAACACATCACAAGGGTGTTTTTCATTTTTTTGTGGGTGCAGGTATTATTTAAGGCTAGTGTTGTAGTTTAAATGTTTTAAAGACTTAGTTGTTTTAGTTTCTGAAATTGAATTTTACTCTAATTCATTGGGGAAAAAACGGTAATCATTCACAACTTACCAAACCATACAGACATAAGATAATTACAAATCAAAAGTGACTCGTGGTTATTGGATAAAATCCGAGTAAAAGGATGAGAAACATGACAAGTGCTCTGACTTAGCTAAAAGAACAACAGACATGGCACCTGTAGTTATTAGGTAAAGGGTAAGCTATTCATGTGACTTCTGAAATTAAGGAAACCTGTAGAAGCAAGGGGTAGCTAATTTACATTTTTACCTGCGAACCATAAGATATAGGAGCAGAAGTAGACTATTCAGCCCATCTAGTCGGCTCCTCAATTCAATGAGATCATGGCTGATCTGATAATTCTTGACTCAACTGTCTGGCCTTTTCCATGTAACCCTTGATTGCCTTACTGATTAAGAATCTGAGTCTCTTAGCCTTGAATATCCTTTACAACCCACCCTTGACAGCCCTCTGTAGTAAAGAATTCGACAGATTCACTAGTCTCTAAAAGAATAAATTTGTCTTCATCCAATGCTTTAAATGTGTAGCCCATTATTCTGAGATTACACCCACTGGTCCCAGACTCACCTACAAGGGGAAACAAGTCAAGTCCCCTAAGAATCTTGCATGTTTCAATAAGATCGCCTCTCATTCTGCTAAACTCCAATGAGTACAGGCTAACCTACTTAATCTCTGCCCATAAGACAGTCCCTCCAAATCTGGTTTCAGATTAGTTAACCTTTTCTTAGGCCATTTTTTTTTCACATTGCCACAGAGATGGGTGGAGTTCAGTGAAAGTCTTTGCACTGGAATTTGTCACCGAATTCAGTTAATGTACAACCAGCAGGCAAGACTCATGGATGTTCAGAAAATCAGTTTAGATACTTTGTCAGCTTTGGTCTTGTGTAGCCTGCAGCTCTTTGAAAGTTGAGAGATAAAGACAGACCTACACTTGGAGCAGAGTAATTATGAGATCTACATATGATTAGAAAAAAATGATCAGGAGATTTATTAAGCTGCAAACTGAAAGAAGAAATCTACAGTAATCCTCTTAATAAAAGGCATCTAGAGATCTGGAAGAATTCAGCTTCATTGCAGTTGAAGAAATAGTAGTGGGTTATTGGAAACCAAGAGTGTTTTCTGATGTTTCAAACCTCTGTCCATAAGGCCTATGCTTGAGTTGTGAATTCCAATGCTATGACATCATTAAAAAGAAAATTGGAAAGTTGATAAACCGAAAGCCGTTGGAAGGACGACATAAAACCTGTGTCTTGAATCACTAGGATAGTAAAATGAAGTGACGTACATTCTGGAGAGTTGTGTTATATGTTTGGATTGGGTCCAGAGAAAAAGTGAACAACCTCTCGGGATTCTTTTCACGTATCAGGGAATATTTGGAGTAAAGTAAAATGTGAAACTGAGTTGATAGCATCAGTCTTTATAAGCTGCAGTGTTTAGTTAGTAATGCTTTCATTCCTTACTTCCTCTTTTAACACACAATAAAGTTTGCTTTGGGTAACTTCATGAAATCTTATGGTGTAGTACTGTCAGGTAATTGCTGGGATGTTTGGGTATCTTCATTAAATATTAATGATACTGTAACACAGTTCCATGATAGCACAAGGTATTGGTTCCAATGCTTCCTCCTTTGACTTCTCCATTGCTTTTGCCTCCTATTGATCCATCAATTTGAACATTAGGAAGAAGCCAGAATGCAGGTCATTGAAAGCGAAGAATTATGAGTTTCTAATCAGAGCCTCTGGAACACGGTAATGGCTAGGACAACTTCAAAAAACTTCTGCCTGAAAATCTTATTCATCTCACAAAGGATTCTTTGAAGTCAGTGATGGCTACTTTCCCCTCCCCCAAAACGTTGCAGACACTTTAGACTCCCTGCAACAGTCACTGAAGATTTGGCCATACTGAGATGGGGGAAGGGGAGTGGGGGGGGGGGGGGGGAATTAAATTTTTTTTAATGCAGAACCCTCTCTCTGATCCAGCCTACTCCAACACAATAAGGAAGAAAGGTCAGTAGCAGAACAGCATTTCCACACTCTGTCAGACATGCAAGGGAACAAGAGGTCTGCGGATTTGTAGGCTGTTCATCTGAGATTCAAATTTAATGTATTGTTTCTAAGACTTGTGCTAAATTAAAAAAATATAAAATTTCCTTACCTCACCAGGTTCTGGCAAATCTGACATCCTGGAAGACACCTGCCATAAATAAGAAATTGATTTAACATTTTTGTGCAGTATTCAACCCATCAAAAACTGATTAAAATCAGTTGTAAACTGGCTTCCTCCTTCCTCCATTGGTGAATGTGTGTTCAGTGTTCCAGAATAAAACACATTCTCATTGAGCACTATCACATCAGGTGGAACACCATCTGGCAAAAGTACATCTTCGTCTACTACATCTATTTTAATCTATTTTGGCACCAACCTCAGAATAGCAATCATTCCTTCACCACCACGTTGCCACTTTACATCCTTGTAGTTTCCCCGATTGCTAATGTACTGCCATATTTACTGTGAATCCAGAGACAAATAGAGCTGGATTATAGATGCTCCATTGTAATCAGCAAAAGGAAAGCCTATCATCCTACCAGACCGTATGGAACACAAACTTGGGACCCACAGAATTTGGACTAAAGATGTTAGCAAGCTAGAATATCAGTTCCTAAGGAGTAGAACAGACCCAAGGGCCTATTGGGAATTCTGGTTCACATTCATATGTCCAAATCTGCATCACTTTAGGATCTGATATAATTTCCAGCAGACACTGGAAACTGTTCAAAAGCCGTCTGATGAAAAGGAGCAGAGTCTTATTTAAACATGTTGAGATGAAGTCAGTTGTAATTTTCTGTGGTCTTCTCCTAAATCAGTAGGCTACGCATCTACCTTACAACTCAGAAGAAAACGCCAGTAAATAAGAACAGTAATATTTGGAAATGAATATACAGATCATTTGGGTGCTCAGTTTGAGGTATACAAGATGTATATGTGTGATTTGCCAGTTTTACTGGTCTTGACTATGAAGACCTGACTCCATAGCCTGCAATTTTGTACAAAGCCAGCGGGGAGACACAGCCATCTACTTCCAGATTTTTTTGCAACTCATCTGTGCCATGTGCCATGGAAATGGTGCTGTCATTGGCAGTCAAAGTGGTCTCCATCCTCAACACTTCATCATAATTTGCCAGGCACAACAATGTACCCTGGAATGTTGAGCCAGGACAACACTTTTCATATCAACCTCTCTTGGCAGTTTTTCCATTTCATCATCTGTTAAGTTGCTCTGGCATTTACCAAGAAGAATCATAGAAGCCCTGCACAAAGAGGCCATTCGGCCTATTGAATCTGCACTGATCCTGAGAACAGCATCCCACCCAGACCCTACCCTCCCAAACCTATCCCCATAACCCCACATTAACCATGGCTAATCCTCCTAGCCTGCACATCCCTGGATACTACGGGGCAATTTAGCAAGGCCAATCCAGCTAACTAGTCAGCTTGGTCTTCTGCGACAATGCTATATATTTCCATTCTACAATATAGTTACACCAACTAGTTGTTTGTCTGAATTGGTTCACTTAACGAGACACTAGTCCTCAGTTATATGTTTGCATTTTAGAAAATCAGGACTTCTAGTGAAACATAGTTTCCCATAGGAATCATAGTTAGCCAAAGTTAGGTTCCTTGGGACTTTCTCACCCAGAAAAATACATAAAAGTTGAAATTTTTTTTTTTTACTGTATTTTCATAAATACTTGTAACAATAAATTACAACACTATACTATATACTGTACTGTACCATACGTGTATATCGAAATAACTTGCAAACTACAATTCACCACTAAACATGAAAGAAATACAATTAAAAAAAAACTTGCCTTTACTGTTCTGTGTTGTTAGATTGACTAGGCTCCATCGAGAGTTTCAAGTTGATCAATGTAGCTGAATGCCCATGGCTACCTGCACTCATGGACATATGTCACTAGATGGGGCCCAGGAGCTCTATTTCAATTTAGGAGAGAAGGACAACTCTTTGCCCATTGCCAGAACAAAAGGGAGAATGTCTGGGATGCAGGCAGTGCAGTATTGGACACTGATTGACATTGGACATTGACAATGCACGTAAACAATGTTAAGACAAAAATGGCAAAGCAAAGCTAAAAATAGGTCACTGTTGTGAGTGGAATGAGGGGTCAGCCAGGTGGATCTCATAGAATATGAGTTCCCTGATTGGGGCTGTTAATCTGGTCCAACCAGGGAGCCCTGGCTGACAGATATAAACAGGAGTGTCAGGGGTTCTGCTCATCCCATGAGCCGGTTCCGTGCTAGCTGGGTCAGTGTCATGTATGATGCACGTATAAAGGGTGACCTCATGGATTTATTTCAGCTACAAATAATAAGCAATGTTTAAAAATGAACAATAGTTAAGCACAACAATATTGAATGAGGACTAGCTGTTTGACATTTCATACAATGAAACCACTCTGAGGATTTTTCAGGGCCCATTCCTAAATACATTTCTCCATATAAGGCCAATGGCTGGGACCTGTACTCATGGCACATCTGGCCTTCATCATAGTGAGTTGTTGTTTCTTCCATTCCTGTATAAAATTTTCATTAACACTAAATTTTCTTATTGCAGCACTGTGATTTGACGAGTTAATGAATGTTACCAGCTTTGCTTCAAACCAACTTCATACTTCATTGATTGTGTTGGAACACTAATTTCTCTTCATCATTTGGCACACAGGGTCTGTTCTATGTGGACATGTCTGAAACTACAGCCTGGATCACTTGATTCCACTTGCACTCAATGTTTAAAATACACAGAGGTGGCAGGCTGATCTATCCCATAAAAGTCCCTAAATCACCCCAGAAGATTCACTCACAGGGGAGACCAATAATGTCACCCCACAAACAGCATAGAACTGAAATGTGATCCACTCCTCCAATCACAGGCTGGTTCTCTCCCATGCTTGCTGCTGATGGGTTTGTGGTGAACCAATCAGCAGAAAACCCAGGAGAGTAGCAGCCTATAATTGGAAGATATATAGAATCCCCACAGTGTGGTATGAGGCCATTTCACTCATCAAGTCTGCACTGACCCTCCAAACAGCATTCCACCCAGACCCAGCTCCCCAATCCCCATTCTAGTACTCCCACATTTACCATGGCTAATCCACCTACTCAACACACCCCTGGATACCATGGACAATTTAGTAGGGTCAATCCTCCTAACCTGCACATCTTTGGACTGAAGGAGGATACCAGAGCACCTGGAGGAAACACACACAGACATGGGGAGAACATGCAAGCTCCAGCGACCCAAGGCCGGAATCAAAACCAGGTCCCTGGCGCTGGTTAGCAGTGCTAACCACTAAGGCACCATGCCATGTTGCCAGAAGTTTAGAAATTCAGTGTTGACACAAGGTGGGTACAGAGAAGGGAGCAGCTGAGGTCTAGGAATGGGAAATAGGAGAGGGCTGCAAGAGCTGGGGCCAGGTGGCGGAGGGGTGCAAAAGCTCAGGCTGGGTGGGGGACAGGTGCAGGATGGGGGGCCGGGGGGGGGGGGGGTGCAGGATCTGGGGCCGCAGGATCTGGGGCCAGGTGAGGTGGGGTACAAAAGCTGGCCCGGGTGGGGAAAGGGTGCAAGAACAGGGGCCGCGTGGGGGAAAGGTGCAGCAGCTAGAGCCTTCCTAACTGCCAACTGACCCTACATGTTAACGTGAAGACAATCCTAAACTAAGACTCTTAAAGTCCCTTTGTGTTTCTGATTTCTGAAGCCTTTCCCAATTTAGAAAATAGTCTATGTTCTATTCTTCCTCATACTTCCCCAAATTCTATTTCATTTGCCACTTCTTTGCAATACTCTCCTAGCCTGTCTAAGTCCTTCTGCAGCCTCCTGCTTCCTCAACATTACATGTCCCTCTACCTGCCTATGTGTCATCTGGAAACTTAGTAACAATACTCTCGTCCTTTCTTCATCCAGATTATTAATGGTGAATGTGAATTGTTGTGGTCCTGACACTGATCCCTGTGGAACTCCACTAATCACTGGTTGCAATCATGAAAACGACACCTTTATCCCTATTCTCTGCCTTATGCCTGTCAGTCAATCCTCTATCCATTGCCCCTTTCTAGTTTTTTAGTTCAATCCATGTGGCCTGAATTGAGGAACTTTCTAAGGTATCATTGCCCCCACACCCCCACCCCTCCCCACTTCACATCTGATGGTTTGCATTGCCGTTAAAGGGCTTTGCATGTAAGTTTTTAATTGGCTGCACGGGTGATAACTGGTGGTGGTTAATAGTTTACAAAAACACAGTCATGGTGATTTTGGTGGTGGATAGGTCACTCAGTCATGTGGGATCACACTTCTGGGTCGAGAATTGAAATCATTTCATTCCTTCTTATTATAATATTGATCAACATAATGACACCAACTCCTCCATTCAGCCTTGCCACGCTCCCTGGTGTCTTAACCTGACTATATACACTTTGCCCTCTGGACTGACTTGACTTTTCTTCTACATTTGTCCGTGCATCACCCCCTACTGTGCCTTCACTCTGTATCCCATCCCCCTGACAAATTAGTTTAAAAACACACCAATCATAGCAACCCCACACAACAATGTTGTTCCCAATCATTTTGAGGGGTTGGAAGATGCACAGATTCTTTTAGCATGGCATGGCCTTAGTACACTGACTACCACACAGTACTCATGGAGCAAGGTCTTTGTCCAATGGCAAGGATTATTCAGACATTTGGAGACCAGGCTGTGCTTGATAGACAGGAAGTACCACATACACAAGTTGTCATCCGTAAACACTCGACATTCCTAGCAGCTTGTATTGCTGTTGAGTCAATGTCAAAACAAGAGGATGCTCCATATTGAGCAGCCCCTGTAAAATCAGCAAAATCCCACTGCCGCCATAACAGGCTAAATACTCCACAAATAACCAATCATTTCCCACCCCTCTTTTACCCACTTTTTAATTCCTGATGTCAAGTTTCTGTTATGTATGTGGTTCAGAGTGTACTGCCCCTTTAAGAGAGAAAGTCAGGTGACAGAGAGCAGGGGCAAGGGGAAACAGTCTAAAAATTGACTGTGACGATGAAAGACCTACAATAAAGTATTCCCTGTTCAAGTTTATCCTCCATTTACCTCATGTTCTATTTAAGGTTTGACTGAACCATA